AAAAAAATTTGGGGTTTTTTTTCCTGTATGTATTGATGTTAGTATGTGAGGCACAATTTTGTTCATCCTCTTTTAAGCTTAATAACACTTGTGCTTTTTGCCAAACATTTCTGAAATTTTGTAGGGAAGTTTGTTTATTAGGGATTGACATTATTAAATTTTGGTGATTAAAAGTTGAAGGGTGGGGAGATAAAGAGGATCACGTGTATCTCCAGTAGGGTCAGACTTAATGATGATTTTACTTGTTATTAGCATTTACAGTTTTTTTATAAAACTCATCCCTACTCTCAATATGAAACTTTTTGCAATTTTATAATAGTTAAAAATATATAAAAAGTTTTTAAATAAAATATATTGGTTGGTTAGTTTCACTAAATGTTACCGGGGAAGTTAAGCAACTTGTTGCTGAATTTTTTTTGTTTACTTCTTACTAGTGTACTTTAGTTCATGATACTTGTTCTTTTCAAATTTATTAGTTAGTGTTAAAACATATCATAGATTAGTAAAATTTTCAGATATAATGAATTAGGTGTACAAAATTTTAAATGTTATCTAAATTTAAAATAATCCATATTTACAGATTTTGTAAAAAGTAAATATAACATAACCTCATAAAATTCAGGAAGTTCTAGAAACAGTATACTAACTTCAAGATATACAATTCTTATTCCAGCTTGAGGTGTAATACACACTATTAAGCATTACTTTTTATATTAGCTACATTATAATTTCTTAATTAATTAAATAACAAAAAAAGTGTTCATATTTATATCTTGAGGGAATATTAATATTAGTTTATTATTTATGTTTAAATATTGTTTGTAATAAATGATGTTATAGTTACAATGTAAGAATAATATTAAAGCTACTTTATATTATTGAATTAACATAAGAATTTTTCTTATTTCAGTGGTGGTGTAATGATTTATTTTGATAGAATTGAAGTTGTAAATATTTTAAATCCTCCTAGTGGTAAGCTTTTGCATGAAAAGTACTTTAAAGATAAAATTTTTTATAAAAAAAAATGAAACAATACAAACATTTTATATTTTTCTTTATTTATAAAATTATTATTTTTTATTTACTTCTAATTGTTTTCTGTACTTTATATATGTTACTGGCAATTATAGGATTTTTTAGGTAAAGTTAAGATTGCCGACAGTGTTATAATCATTGCCCAAAATAAAGTTTTTTATTTCAGACTTTGCCTGAAAACAAATTAGGCAAACTTAAGATTGCCTAAAGAGGGCTAGAGAATGTCAAAATTAATATTTTTGTTTACATTGCCTATTTCACTGGATTGAATAGGTACAAGATAATAAACAAGGATTTTATAGAACACTTTATTGAAAAATAATCTTATGTATAAGTTAAAACTATGTCAATTAAAAGAACAAACAAACAATTCAATTCTGTACTAAAAACATAAGAACAGTTTTATCCTAAGACTTACTTACTAACATTAGTTTGAATTATTATGGCATCAAGAATTACATAGCAACTTCACTTTTTTACATTTGCAGGCATTTGTTATGCACTTTTTATGCAATAACACTTGAAGAATCCTTGCTCACTGAAAGTGGAATTATGACTGTTAATTGACTCTTTGTCAGGGATGTTGTGAGAGATCAGAGTGGAGTTAGCCCTAAATTATGGAAATTTTTAGGTCTATTTCTCCATTGTGATCATTAAGAAAACATCACACAGAAAATGGATTGAATGACACCCTTTCCATCAGCAACTGTTCAAGAATTATAACAATCTTGTGCTAAATGATAACAACCTATTGTTAAGAGGAGAAAGTCAACTGTTGAACAAGTAAATAAGATGAATCTTACAAATCTCGAACCAAATATGGTAATAGCAGCTCCATTTAGCATCATCAACAGCTCACCTATAACACACCACCTGCAAAATCAACCTTCGTCTCCAACAACACTTGATCACCTGATGGGCTTTCCTAGGCCTAGACTGGATAAAAAGGAGGCTGGAACTTGAGTCAAGGTGACCTTCATCTGGCGCCATACACTGGCAGACATCTCCAGCTACCCTGTTCCTTTAGGACATCCCCAGGACAATCCCAAGACAGACTCCATGACAGATGAAGACCAAGTCTCCTGTCTCGTTGTATCCTGGACAGACATGGTCCAAACTGGACATTCCAGGGCTATAGAAGACAATGGTTAGACTTGCCATACAACAAAGGAAGCCATACACCACAGCCCAACCTCTGGACTGCAGAANCCCAGAAATACGAAGGATCTTAGCACCTTTTTGGGAATGTGCAGCTGGTACTGTAGATTCATACCTAACTACGCAACCATCGCCGAACCATTGTATCAGTTACGGTGGAAATGGAAACAATGGGAGTGGACGGAAGAATGCCGTCAAGCTTTTGAAAAGCTAAAAAGTAAGTTAATAACTGCACCTATTTTGCAGCTTCCTAGGCCAGGTATGCCTTATACATTATATACCGACACTAGCACTGTAGGACTGGGACCAGTGTTTTGCCAGGAGAAAGTCGTTGCATACGCTAGCCGTACCTTAAATGCAGCCAAAAGAAACTATACGGCCACTGAGCTTGAGAGTCTAGCCGTTGTATGGGCTATAGAGAAGTTCAAGGTTTACCTAGATGGAACAAAATTTACTGTCGTAATGGACCATTCTGTATTACGATGGCTCCATAGTTCTATGTCCCTCTCAGGTAGGTTAATGAGGTGAGCTTCTGTTAGCAACAAGCGTGGTGAGCTTCGTAGCAGCAAATGAGAGAGGGGGTCCAATAGGATAAAGTAGTTCCAAGGCAATTTTGAAGTTGTTCGATTTGTGGATCAAAGATTAGAGAGTCTTGAGAGTTGAGGAAAAAGGTTCCTAGTATATTGAAGTGATGATTAGGATCTTTACTTCATAAGAATTATTGTATATAAGTTAAGTCTTTGAATTTTTGTTGAATTCCAAAGGGAAATTGAGTTAAGTTAGAAAATAGATTCTTTTGAGTTTTGTCGGGTTGATTCTTATTGATTTACGNTTTTCTGGATCTTTATGCTCCTTTAGCTGACGAAGTAGCTGTCGCTAAAGAACTATTTAGTCGACAATACACAGGATAGTCGACGATGGAATATACGATAGAGTCGACGTCGACAGAGGAATCGACGCAGGAAGAAAGCCGTGAAGAAGCGGTGGACAGACTGTTCGATATTCTCGAAAGGGTCGGCGTGATGAACGCCTTCGAAGCAGCATTGCAACATCTCCTTTCCGGCAAGGAGCTGCCCGCCGATCCCTGCACGGTGATGATCAGAAGTCTGGGTGGGTACGAGCCCGAGTACGTAGAGGTTCTGCGGGCAGAACTAAAATGCGAACGCGTGCAGTCCCTCCAAGCCAGATTGGACAAGTACGAGCAGGAGAAGGCGCCACCGGCCGGCCATGACAAGGCGACAGAGGTAAGCACCTCGAAACACGTGGTGATCGAGATTTCGGACGACTCCAACGAGAAGGAAGACACCGAGAAAAACAGGAACAAGACCGGTAGAACGTCGGGCGAGGAAGGGAGCTGTGAGCAGAAACGTCGAACATCGAAACGTCGCCGTACGTTATTTTGAAAAAGCAATGAAATAAAAATAAACTGCAATAAAATAGCTAAAATAGGAAAAAAAAAAAACCTACGTTTTTCTCACGATAACGGACTGGGATAACCACTCACTAAAACAATTAACAATGCTAAACTATAACCCGACAATCAGTCCGTAGCGTGAAGAAAGATAATAAATCGTTAGAAAAATTTTTGGGGATTAACGCTTCACCCCAGTTCACACCAAAGAAGAGCGTGAAAATGGCAAGAAACCTTGGAACTCGCATGTGATTGTATGTCAACATTTTCCCCAAATTGTATAACTAAGTTAGAATAAATTTATTCTAACTTATTATTCTAAATTTATTAAGCAACGAGTCACTCTCGCTTATGTCAAATCATTGTAAGGGATGTATTAATTTGTAAACCTGGCAGCAATTGTATATAAGGCGCACTCCTTTAGAAGAGATAAGAGTTGGAGGATTTTTTGGCTTTAAATGAAAAGAGAAAAAAATTTCTCTTTAATCTAAAGGGGAAGGGGTGTAAGGAACCAAGTCCAAACGTTATTTTTATTTACTTTTATTTTGCTTATTATTCTATTTTGTTTGGGGCTTATGTTTAGTTAAGACGAAGGTTTCCTCACCACTCACCTTAGAAAGTTAAAAATAGAAGAGAAAAACCAACTCGCCAACGAAAGAAAAGCGCCGTAGTTAAAACTCGCACTCACGTGCAATCCCGAGCTGAAAAAAAGTAAGTCCACACCGAGGAAAAGACCCCACAACCTAGTTAGAAATCGCTAAACCTTAAAAGAATCATGCATCCCAATAATTGTTAAAAGAATAATGTAAAAAATTAGCGAAGTATTGTCGGAAAAATAAGCTGCCAGATAAACGAGAAAAATTTAATGTTACAAATAAGTATGTAAATGAGGGGAGTGTCTCACCCAGAATTGTGACGTCACCTCACAGTGAACAAAAGCGATTCTCAAGTGAAGTCAGAGAGGTGAATTCCTGATAGCAACGAGCTTTGGTGAGCTTCGTAGCAGTGATCGAGAGAGATGTCCGATAGGATCAAATAGTTCCAAGGCGATTTTGAAGTTATTCGATTTGTGGATCGACGATTATAGAAAGTCTTGAGAGTTTGAGGAAATAGGTTCCTAGTATATTGAGGTGACAATTAGGATCTTTAATTTATAAGAATTATTGTTAATAAGTTAATTCTTTGATTTTGTCGAATTCCAAAGGGGAATAAAATTAAGTTAGAAATAGATTGATTTGAGTTTGTCGGGTTGATTCTTGTTGAATTTCCTTGAATAAATTATTGTTTGATTTTTACTAAATACTGTATATAGTTTATTACTAGAAGTTAAATTAAATATTTGATTTTTGTTATTGACAAACTTTGTCATTATTTAATTCGGTGCACGCTAAAAGTCCAGGCCTGGCACACTAACGCGAATCCGCGTAAAGTACCCGTTAGGGAACGGCTATTTCCGGCACACAGTAGTGTCGATAATCGTTGGAAAGTCGGAAAATTAATATAGTACTTTACACCTCTTTAATTTGACAGGGGGTTTTTCTTTTGGAGATGACGTTGGTTTTGTGACCTGCATATTAGTCTCTTCATCAGAGATATCAGAAAAGTCACTCGGAGTGAGCTTCTGATTTTTTTACATTTAGAGAGAGCTGCTTTCAGTCTGTTTACTGGGTTCTTGTTAGCCTTTTCAGAACCCAGGTTTCTCGTTATTACCCCTGTTTTAGGTAGTGGTGTTTTTACTCTTGTACTCTCCTTTTCTGGTGTTTCTAGTGATGGGAGTATTAAACATTTCGCATGGCGAGTAAGATTCCTTTGGGAAAACAAATATCAGTTTGAACCCAAGCTTCTTTGTAGACTTCACAGCAGCTGCAAATGTCTTTTCTTTCAAAAGAGCTCTTGAGGTGACCATGTGCCAAGCCTCTGGGTAAGATAAATTGTTTACAGTTTTTACCTGCTGAATCTCTCTGTGCCATGCAAGGCATTTCCGAGAGTAGACAGGATGGGTGTCTTTGCAGTTGACGCAGCATGGAATAGTTGTACACTCAGTACTCTCATAATCTTCTTTTCCACACTGAGCGCATGCACTTTTCCCACGGCAAGATGTTTGTGAATGTCCAAACCGCTGGCATTTAAAGCAACGCAGCGGGTTTGGAATGTACGGGCGAACTGGGCAACGGAGATATCCTGCTGCAACAGAAGATGGCAATGTTGGCTTGTTGAACGTGAAAATAAGATGTTTTGTAGGTATCACCTTGCCATCGCGCCAGATAGAAATGCATCTGATGCAGTAACACCTCGTTCTGAAAGGCCTATCTGGATATCTGATTCATTTTCAGTCATCAAATCTGCCTCCGATATCACACCACATGATGAGTTTAAACTCGTGTGTGGTGTTATAGTGACTTCTATATCTCCCAAAGTCTTGACAAAAGTTTTGCCAATTGTTGAGGTGAGGTTGTTTCTAAAAGCAGGTCTCCTGACCTCAACTTTTGAATTTTTTTCAAATTCCCAACGGTTGATTGAAATAATTTTTGTATTAGGAAAAGAGAATGGTTAGAAAGAGGTGTTTCACTGACTGCATGAGCTATAAGGTAAGTTGGATGGTTGGATAAACTTTTGTTTTTTGATGTTATTGTATCTGTACACTTATGTTTTGGTTGGTTTAGGATCCATATTGTATATTTGAATATTCAGCTCCTAGTGACCCCACCCACCATGGAGCCCAACAAGGGAATGCAGTCACATGAGAGATTCCCATAGACCGTCACACCAGGGTTTCCCAGGAGCTGTACCCTCACAATGCAGTCAAGAAAAGCACATTTTGTCTGACATGTCCGCCCGGTCTGCATTGATCAGTTGACTCAAAGCCAAGGTCAAAACTGTCACAACAACCAGCCGATTGACTCAAATGGAGCCTGATTTCAGCCTCCTATTTATCCAAAGCAGGGGTCAAAGCAGTGTGTTGGGGACGTTATGTTGCCCCTCAACTACCAGGATCCCCCTTTCTGGCATACAGGATACCACGCACGGCAAACACATGGATGAGCGTTCAGATCCCAGGGATGGTAAAGAAAAGTTACTAAACCATCTCTGGGAGGGCCCCTCACCACGGATAGGAACCCACATCGAGGGGGGAAATATACAAGAATCAATTCTTGCATATGAACTGTACAAACTGGAATATATTAGAACTGTACAAACTGGAATTAGAGCTGCACATTTCAAGTAGCACTGTATGTTAAAAAAAAAACAGATCTAAAAAAGTAAAGCTGATAGAGAAAAACTGATTTCATATTTGGATTCAGCGACCCAAATATAGCGAAAATCGGTTCTAAAATCCTAGGCACAAAAAAAAACTTTTTTTTTGGGCCTAGGATTTTAGAACTGATTTTAGAACTGAACAAAAAAAAACTTTTTTTTTGTTGACCTGTGTAATCAAATTTGTTTAATTATTAGTGACTTTCAGAAAGTTCAATAATTTATCAAGATTTGGCCTCTGGCCCAGAATGTCTTTAAAACTTGCATTTCCAAAATGCTCTCTACAAATCCTCTCAGAGGCAATACAGTAGCACAGAATGTGTTTAACACTTGTAGTACAGTTACAATATTGGCTGGCATACTGGTTGGTCATCACCCTTCAAAAGGTATTAATGAGTCAACCGAGTATGCCCAATTCTCAACTGAGTAAGAATAACTTCAGATCTCCTGTCATGCTGTTTATTACGTGCCCAATTTTCTATCATCAGTTTGATCTCGTATAGTTTATTGTGGATTTGTGCATTCCACATGTTTTGCCATCTCTCTGCTAGTTGTTTTTTTTAACTACTAGCTTCAAATCACCTCCTTCAATAGGCATTGCATGCTGTGAAGGACTAGCTACCTTTGCAGCTGCGTCACCATCTTCATTTCCTCTTATACCAACGTGGCCCAGGACCAAACAATATTTTATAGAGAGAGATTCCTAGCAAGAAGATGGCGAATCAAATTATGAATTTTAATCACTATGGAATGAGAACTAGTTCACACGAGATCAAAGCCTGAAGTGCACTAACTGAGTCAGTGTATATCATGCAGCAACGATGCTCTTTACTGATTACATACTTTAAGGCTAGATAAATAGCCTACAGCTCTGCAGTAATAAAAACAAACACCACCACACGAAAGAGTGAAAAATAAATAAATAGTTAAATTTCTTTATACAAATTAGTGACTTTTTAAAAGTCCAATACATTATAAAGATTGAGCCTCTGGCCCAGTATCTCTATCAAACACCCTGTCCCAAAATACTGTCTACGCTTGGTCTCAAAGGCAGAGTAATCGAGCAGTATGTGTTTTATAGTAAGAGGACAGTTGCAATACTGGCATACTGGCTGGTCATCACCCTTCAAAAGGTATTGATGAGTCAACCGAGTATGTCCAATTCTCAAATGAGTAATAACAACTTCACATCTCCTATCATAGAATTTCATGTGTGTCCAATTTTCTATCATTGATTTGATCTCATGTAGTTTATTGTGGATTTGTGTATTCCACACATTTTGCCATCTTTCCGTTAGTCGTTTTTTAATGACTAGCTTCAAATCATCTCCTTCAATAAACATTGTATGCTGAGAAGGACTTTCTGACTTTGCAGCTGCATCAGCTTCTACATTTCCTCTTATACCTACATGGCCTGGGACCCAACAAAATTTTACAAAAATATTACTCGCACAAAGATGGCAAAACAGTTTATGGATTTTAATCACTATAGAGTGAAAACTAGGTTCACACAAGATCAAAGCCTGAAGTGCACTAACTGAGTCAGTGTAAATAACACAGCAACATTGACCTTTTCTGATTACATACTTTAAGGCTAGGTGAATAGCCTGCAGCTCTGCAGTAAAGATAAATGAATTCAGTGCAATTTGTTCTGACATGATTTCATCCTGGCAGACAAAGGCTGAGCCAACATAATCATCCGATTTAGAACCATCAGTATAAATAGGAATTAAAGTCCTGTCATGGTGTTGAATTTCTGCAAAGTGCTGTATGTAGACATAGTCTGGAGTGGATTCCTTAAGAAACTGCTTTAAGCTAAGGTCAACATTTATCGCAAGAGTTGACCAAGGTGGTATACTGTAAACCTCAGGCTGTGAAATGTTGCCCATTTCCAGGTGAATCGTGCTGGTTACATTCTCCATTCTTATGTTGAATATAGGGACACAGCTCGAGCGAGCTATAAATAATCTGAAAGGCCAGGACTACACCTCCCCGAAACGGAAACCAGCTGTCGAGCTAAAGTCAATATATCGGTGACTTATTACGTAAATAGGACCGGTAGGACCAAGGAACAGATACAGATATTTATTGATCAATATGCCATATGGCATATCCCGGTGCCACTAAGTATTACCGGGTATATACAGGAAATTACATAGTTTACACTGAAGATTGATAACTAATTATTAACGTAAATAAAATTAATTAACGCGTGTACAATTATATATATGAGGTTATACACGCGTGCAAAACATTAATAAGTATTAATAGATAAAAATAAATTTAAAACATAAAAGTTGCTGGAAATGTGACAGAGTCATAACATTATATAGTTACACGAGGAACATATGTTTTGTTATCTTACGCGGCAATTCTGTTTCAGCAGAGGTTTTCTCTTTTCCACTCCCTAATAAAGACGCAGTAGTAGAGTCAGTCTAGATAAAAGTTTTTTTTTTTTTTTTTTTTTTTTTNCCCCAGCAAGGGGAATGTGAATTGGTATCACCAGCTAGAACGAAATAAGTATTGGAAAAAGTATCCACAATGTCCTGCATATCTGAGACGAATTCCTGTATATTACAATCTCCAGGGCAGTAAAAGTTTATAAATATGTACCTACATCTGTTTATAATGATTTCTGTACAGCAAATGTATTTATTACTGATATTTTTGTGATGTAAAATAGAAAGCTTGTTATGTGTGGCTATGAAAGTTGCCCATGGATAGTCTGATGTGCCGGATAAAAATATACAAGATGTAGGTAAACATGCAGGTTTGAATTTGATACAGTATGGTTCTTGTACTAATACAAAATCAAATTTATTAATAACTGAGGCAAGGAGGGAAGTAGCTGCAATTCTTTTCCCTGTGTTATATTGCAGAAAACAGATGTTATTGTTAATGTATTGGTCCATAATCCGTTCGTTGTATTAGGTTATTTTTAATTCTGGCAAATAATCGACAAGAACCATCTCTAGCATTATGACCGCAAGCAGAAGGACCATCGTGTTTACAATTGCAGCAAATAGCTGGTTTGTTCTTGTTAGTGCAGTCCTTAAAGCTATGTTGGCCAGCACAGTGACTGCAAGTTGGTACCTCTTGACTGCATGAAGTGGAAGTGTGCCCAAATCGGCAGCAGCGAAAACATTGGAGTACTGGGCAAAAGTCAGTAATTCTACACTTGGACCATTGGACTGAAATTTTTTCGTATTTTAATAGTTGTAATCTCAATTTTGGTGATACTTCTATCACCCAGTTATTATAATATTTGCCCTTCTTACCCATGCGAAATTTAATCCTAAAGTTTTCTAAAAATTCTTCTTCAGTGCATGTTACTCCAATGTTCTCATTTTGATGGAAAATACATAATGGTAACTCTTCTCTTGATAGCTCAGATGGCACTGAATAAATAGCTAAGTGAGGCAGTTTTTTCTTTGGTTTCTTAATTACTATTTGTGGAATTTCCTTCCTGACAAATTGTTCAAATTTATTCGCATCTTCACTGTCCCCCATTTCCACTGCCACACCCCCTCCTCCGATATTCTTGATTTTATCGATTCCTATGGCCAATTGCGATGGTCTTACCCGATCGTACAGGATTTTCCTCAAATGATTTGAATCAGCCTCTCCATCCACATTATACAAAAGTAGTACCTCCATACTTGTATTCAGATGTTTATGCCGATTATTTACATTAGGTTTGCCAGATTTTAAGACTTCACTGTAAGTTTTCAATGGTTGTCTTTCAGCATTACAAATAGTTTCCACCTTTCCCAGTTTCTCGTATAGGCATTTCTGATTGTTTAGAATTTCATTGATGGTACCTTCGTTTAATAAATTTACCTGATTCTGAGATTGCTGTAGATCCTCTCTCATATTAAAACCTTCATTTATCTTAGTTATCATCTTTGTAATATCATTTTTAATCCTGTCAATCGAACTATCCTCCATCTCTTTGAGCTTTCTCAATAATTCATTTTGCGAATCAGGCATAGTGTTATCTTGTATGATATCTAATTTTTCTAGAATTTTATTGTTTATGTCATTATGTTTTTCATTAACTAAACTATGGGTAATGTTATTTTCCAGTTTGTCAAGTCTATCCAAAATTGTTTGTTGGAAATCATCCATTTTGAGATTCTCGCTCAAACAAATTATGTCCTTCTTTGTAGCCAAAGTAGTCATTCTTTCCTGGGTGGCATCAAGGGGCTTTAAACCATCAAAGATGCCTTCAACTAGGTCAATGACCTTATTGAATTGATCCAAAATGAATTGCACGTGCATAGGTGCATTGAATCTACCTTTAGGATTGGCTTTTGCGTACGATTTAATTTCATCCAAAATGCCATCGACAGAGGTTCTAAACATCTCACGAGTAGCAGACTCCATATCGATAAAAAGTGTGGATATGATACCAATATATGAACAAATTTTAAATTATATCCAAAATAACGCAAGGAGTAAGCTTAAGATCGATTAGTCTAATTACATATATATATATAAATATATATAAATTGAAATAAATACCAAAACTTATATAATATAGCTTAAGATTAACTTATAATAAACAAAAATAGTGAAAGTATATTGTAATTCCTTTAATAACTTTATGTATGATTATTCTATATATTTATCCATATCACCAGTATTTCCCTTAAATTATCCCAATTCCAAAAATATATAATTATCTCTATGTTAAATAAGAGCAATAGCCGAATTTACCGATTTCCCACTTAACTAATGTATCTCTATAAAGAAAGGTCAATGACCTTTGCTGTTGAAACGAAAGTTTGGCCGATGTTGAAATTCGAACAAGAAAACTAGAATCTCCATAATTCAAAAACTATTGGAAATAACTGATTGAAATTTTCTAAGAGAACTACTGAAAGGGTCCTAAAAGAACTGCCCGAAGGATATTATCCACCAATTCACCGAAAGCGAAATATCGGCGTTCGACCCCCGACCAAAAGTTTGACGGTATTAAAGCCGTAGATGGTCCGAAGACCACGAAATTTCAGATATTACAATAATCTGGCAGTCCGCACTAGTCGGCGTCAACCGATCTGGTTAAAAGGTACTTTAAGTACCAGTTTCCGGAAAATGTTCTATTTTGCCCAAATTTCAAAAAGTTCAAAGTTTAAGAGGTCCTACTTGACTGATTATGATTCTCCTTGTCTTTCGATGCAATATTCTACATAGTACCATATTATTAAAACAAAATTTCCACTAAAAACACTAAAACTTTTAAGAGCACAACAAGCAACATCTTATCCATCCATTCAATTCGAACCATCTCTATCCAAGGAACAGGGTGCGAGACAATATAATTGCCACATTCCAAACCTAATTGACAGATCCGTGATCATCAATCGTGAGAACGAGAGATGGATCGTCCGCCAGGGTAACTTTAGATGGTCACCTTACAGAGTTCAAAGCGGGACCTGCTGACACTCCTGTAGAGGGAGCAGCGGCTGGGAGATTTGCATCTTCTCCAGGACAGGAAAAATAGACATTAGGTAGAATTTATGGGTCCGTCATCCGGGAAAGGACTTGACCCGACTCTGGAGGCGAACGGCCCGGACGGGGATGTTCGGCGACCCCGTGGCCCAAATTGCATACCTGGCAATGGACCAGGGACCAATAGAATCGAAGGGAATCAGCATTCAAACCAATCAAAATCTCGGGAGTTTGGAAAGAAAAAGGTTATAAAAGCCCAAAATCCCAAGGACAAGAGAGGTTGTGAGTGGTTAGTCTGTTCCTAAGATTCTAACCAGGATTACGGAGAAGACTCAAACTTGAACGAGTGCGGCAAGAGTGAGGAACTTAACTTTCCGAGCACACTTCTCTACCCGGACCGGTGTGAACAGAGACCTAACTTCCAGGCATGGATCTCAACTCTCCCAGCCTACAGAAACACCTTAGATTGAAAACTAACTTTCTCCTGTTTCTGAATCAACTTATCCTTGGAGATGAACTCTCTTGCTTGGGAAAGAAACACCCATCTGGACAGACTTTATCATAAGCATATCTTCGTCAAATAAATGCGTTGAATTGGTACACACAGTCTCTGCATGAGTCTCTCTGCGTCCTGCAAACAACTACCCCCATTTGGAAAAGACTTTCTCATGTCAATATTTGATATTCGCGGGCAAAGCAAGTGTGTTCACCTTTAACTGAAAGGTCAACACCTCCCCACGCTGGTGTCTACTCCTTGTCCCCACAAATCTTATCAGCTGGGTATCTGATACCATATAAACAACTAACGATTTAGCTTGAGATTTCTGTTTTATATAATAAAGAAACAACTGTTCTCTCCTGAGGGATAGTGGATACTCATAAGCATCCACATACAAACTTTGGACAGGAGAAGTTCGAAAAGCACCAGTGCACAAACAGTGCTTTGATGATGGATTGGATCCATCATCTGAAAAGTAGATTCTCACGCAGAGCCATAAACAATGCATCTGTAGTCCAGCTTAGAGCAGACAAGGGCCCTATAAATCCTGAGCATAGAACATTTGTCTGCTCCCCAGGATGAGAAGCATAGTACATTTAAAAGGTTGAAAGATTTTAAACATCTACTCTTCAAATAGCACAAATGTTGTCAGTCAGTTTTTGGTCAAATAAAATTCCCAAAAACTTTGCCTCGTTGACCATTGGGATTTTAACCCCATTTAGGTGAATTTCCGGATCTATGTGAAAACCATGCCTTCGGCAGAAGTGGATGCACGAGGTCTTCTCCGTGTTAAAACTAAAACCATTGGTCTTAGACCAATTGTCTATGCAATTTAGTCAGGTTTGCAGTTGTCTCTCAATGAAACTCATGTTGCTAGACTAGCAGGAGATCTGAAAGTCATCCACATACAAAGTGTGTTTCACACTGGGAGAAAGGCAGTTAGCTATGCTATTAATTTTAATTAGGAATAGAGTCACACTCAAAATACATCCTTGAGGAACACCTTCTTGCAAAAGGCCTAGATAGAGTTATGCCCATCCTGACTTGGAATCTTCGATTCTGCAGGAAGTTTTTTATAAAATTTGGCAAATTACCCTGCAATCCGAATTGGTGCAGATCACAGAGTATCCCGTATTGCCAACAGCGGTCATAGACCTTCTCTATATTGAAAAACACAGACACTAAGTGTTGTTGTCTAACAAACGCTTCGCATATAGATGTTTCAAGGTTTACTAAGTTGTCTGTGGTAGTTCTGTTCCTACGAAATCCACTCTGATGTAGTGAAAAATAGTTCTTTTCCTCTAGGAAAAAAATCAGGCATCTGTTTACCATTCTCTCAAACTTTGCACAGGCAACTTGTCAGAGAGATTGGTCTGTAATTAGAGGGATTCTTGTGGTCTTTGTCCGGCTTAAGGATGGGGATAATGATAGATAGCCTCCAAGGGTCGGGAAAAGTATGTTCTATCCATATTCTGTTAAACAGATTCAGAAGATTACTAAGGGAATTG